CGGGCCAAGTTTTTTATATGTCTAATCCCAATTCTTCATGATGAAACCACACCATCCACAAAACAGAAAGAAGGAAGGGAAAAAAGAGGGAGGAAGGAAGGAGAGATTGGGGGCAGGGGGGAGAACGGAGGGAAGGAAAAGGGGAGAAAAAGGAAGATCAAGCTGATTCATGTGGACTTAGAGGAGCCAGAGCCTGGGGGGCACTTAGCCAAGCCCCTCAGGGGTGGGGGGCAGCCGCTGCAGACACAATTCCTGGCACCCAACCCCCACCTGCTCAGGTGGCCAGGGACCTACTGTCCGCAAGCCCAGTCACAATCAGAAGGGGCGGACGATGGGTAAAGGAGAGAAGCAGAGAATGACCCCGGGTGGCGACAGGCACAGCCACCAGCCTCGTTTCTACACCAGATGCGTCTCCCTCACTTATAACCATTTTGGCTCAGGGCCTGGTCTTCCCGAGCCCCTGGAACCTCCTGATTTATTTGAGCGGCTCTGCAGTCTGAGGAAGTGGGAGGAAGTCCCAGGTGGTGTATTTCTGCCAGGGTGGTCCCCAGGATGAACGTGTGGTGGTTCGTTCCTTCTTTGCCCTGAATTTGCTACCTCCGCGCTTGCCTTTCTGTCTCTGGGGCTCATGCTTTGTGGCCGTGGGGCCCTGTCATCTCAACCTCATGGACTAAATTCCCCTGATAAATACTGTCTCAAAATTGCAAACCCGGCTAACAGGCTGTCCGGGAACACGGCCCAGGAACAAACAAAACAAGCTTGTGTCGTCTGGTTTTCCTCCCGGTGGTTACTGTTCTAGGGAAAAAAGATTGGACTTGAGCATCTGAAACGGTCACATGCTTTACTCAGAGCACAGGGGACCTCTGGTGCTCTCGCTGGGACACCGCGAGAGCTGTCCCTTCCCTTCGGCGCTCCCGAAAGAAGAAAAGCACAGTTTCAGTGTGTTCTGTCTCCTTGAACGGCATCCCTCCTGGACCTGCAGTTGGACAAAATTCAAACTGCTCCCAAGGCGTAGTTTTAGGTGACATGTCCCTGTCCCCTTACCTCCTCCATGTGCACTCTGCCCCAGGCCCTTTGCACGTGCTGTTCCCGCTGCCTGGAACACTCCTCCCCCAGATGTCCTCCCTCCATCAGGTCTCTGCTCCAACATCACCCTCTCGGGGGGCTTCCTGGACCACCCTCTTTATTATTACTATTATTTCTAATATATATTTTTTATTGATTTCAGAGAGGAAGAGAGAGGGAGATAGAAATATCAATGGTGAGAGAGAATCATTCATCGGCTGCCTCCTGTACAACCACCACTGGGGATTGAGCCCACAACCCAGGCATGTGCCCTGACCAGGAATCGAGCCCTGACCTCTTGGTTAATAGGCTGATGCTCAACCACTCAGCAACGCTGGCTGGGCCCGGATCACCCTCTTTAGAACTGCACCCCATTCCAAGACTCCCAACCCCCACCCCAGACTTATTTTTCTCCATAGCACTGTGACTTTCAAATAGATCACGGCTTTATTTTGTTTACTGTCCGCTTCCTTTCTGACATAAACCCCGCAAGGGCAGGGATTTAATGTTCATGTGCTGACCATTTAAACGTAGTCCTGGAATAATTATGGAATCTGAATTTTGTAGAGGGGTTTTGCATTATGTACCCACAACCTTCTACATACTAGTATGCTAATGACTCCACCCAGCTATTCCACTTCTAGGAATTTATCCCTGGGCGGTAATTGCAGATGTGTGCAAAGATATAGTTAGAAACGTTACGAAAGCAAAACACTGGGAATGAGAAGAGCTGACATTTAAGTAGCAAGTACCATGTGCCAGGCCCCGTTCTGAACATTTTATGCATTTGAACTCTTTAAACCTCACAACAACCCAACCCACCTATTGTTGTCAGGATTTTACCCGTGAGGAAACGGGCGGAGGGCCTGCCCAATACATAATACGGCCAGGACCGACAGGGAGCCCATATTCTTAACCACCCTAGGGGTTAGCTAAGCTGGGTGCGCGCCAACCTTTATTTGTGCTTTTTAAACATATGTTTTCAGGTTTTTTAAAAAATCTGTTTCAGAGAGGGGAAGGGAGAGGGAGAGAAGGATAGAAACATCAATGATGAAAAAGAATCATGGATCGGCTGCCTCCTGCACGCCCCCCACTGGGGATTGAGCCCACAACCCGGGCATGTGCCCTGACGGGAATTGAACCTGGTTCATAGGTTGACGCTCAACCACTGGGCCATGCTGGTTGGGGCTGTGTTGACTTTCAAAGCCCCGCTCCCCCAGCCCACTGCCCTTACGTAACTCTCAGCTGGGCCCGCGGCATCAAGGGACTGGCCCTGACACAGGGAACTGAAGGTGACAGCGCTGCTGGTTGCAAAAATAGGGGGCCCAGGGCCTATTTGGGTTCTATTTTTATTAAAAGCCCGTTAACTTGTGTCTGTCGGAGCAGCTCCACGCTGAGGCTGGGTGCTGTGGAGGAGTCGGCTTTATTTTGAAGTGAGCGGCTGTTCAGCTCTCCATGGGAGAACTTTCTTGTCCAAAGGAAAGGGGGTGGCCAAAACCGGTCTGGCTCAGTGGATAGAGCGTCGGCCTGAGGACTGAAGGGTCCCAGGTTCGATTCCGGTCAAGGGCATGTACCTGGGTTGCGGGCACATACCCAGTAGATGTGCAGGAGGCAGCTGATCGATGTCTCTCTCTCATCGATGTTTCTAGCTCTTTGTCTCTCTCCCTTCCTCTCTGTAAAAAAATCAATAAAATATATTTAAAAACAAAACAAAACAAAGGAGAGGGGGTGAGGGGAGGTTGAGGTCTCAGGCTTCTGTTCAGCCCCACGGTGGGTTTTCTTGGCACATAATCTGGTCACATCCCCTGCAGCAGGTCTTGACTTAACTGAGGTTGAAGATAACACAATTTCCCTTCTCTCTCTTTTTTTTGTCTGATTTTTGGGTCTTCACACTAGTTTAAAGGTTTCCAACCTGCAGCATCCATAGTTAATCCCTTTTGCGCCTTGTCAGGATGTAAGCACTGCCCCAGGGCCCATGGAGCTAGAGGGGTGCACTTGTGTCTCTACCTTCACACCTTGAAATCAGCCAAACTCTCGTGAGTGAGCGGGGCCGGTCTCCCCCCAATCCAGGCCACGGAGTGCGACCCGCAGGCTGCGGTGTGCCCCCCTACATGCCTGCATTGTAACGCCATGGGGCACATTCGGGGCTACAGAGCTTGCAGAAAAGCCTTTCAAAATCACAGCCGCCTGTGGAAATAAGTCTTTCACAACAGAGGGAGGGTTTCTCCGTTTTTATTGGTCTCTTTTATTTTTTAAATATATTTTATTGATTTTTTACAGAGAGGAAGGGAGAGGGATAGAGAGCCAGAAACATCGATGAGAGAGCAACATCGATCAGCTGCCTCCTGCACACCCCCCACCAGGGATGTGCCCGCAACCCAGGCACATGCCCTTGACCGGAATTGAACCCGGGACCTTTCAGTCCGCAGGCCGATGCTCCATCCACTGAGCCAAACCGGTTTCGGCTTGATCTCTTTTAAAAAGGCCTTCCACATTGGAAACTTGATTTTCACTGCGGGCCACACCTGGACACGAAGCTCCCTGTCCGACAGTGTGTTCCTCCTAAGAATCTCTGAAATGACCTAGACATTCAGCGAGTAGCACCCTCTGAAATGTGCTCAAGGCCTGAGCGGGCTCCCAACCCGACAAAACGCTTCCCCGACAGCGCGGGTCTTTGAAAAGGAGCACCGTGCCTGGCCGGTGTGGCTCAGTGGGTTGGAGCGTCATCCCGTGCACCAAACGGTGGTGGGTTTGACTCCCAATCAGGGCACACACTCAGGTTTTGGGTGTGATCCCCGGTCAGGGTGTGTGCAGGAAGCAACGGATGAATGTTTCTCCCTCTCTCCTTCTCGCTCCCGTTTTAAATGTTTTTATTGATTTCAGGGAGAGGAGGGGAGAGGGAGAGACAGAAACATCAGTGATGAGAGAGAATCATTGAACAGCTGCCCCCTGCTGGGGACGGAGCCCTGACTGGGAATCGAACTGTGACCTCATGGTTCATGGATCGATGCTCCACCACTGAGCCACACCGGCCGGGCTTTAAAAAAAAGCAATTAAAAAATATGTACATTAAAAAAAAAAAGGAGCACATTACTTAATATTTACCCGGAATCTTGGCGAAAGCAGTGAGTGTGTGGGCATGAAATGCTAAATTAGAAAATGACAGTGTCCTTTGAGCAGTTTTTAAAATGTTTCAGTCCTGAACCTGAGAGACAGCCAAGTGCCAAGCGCTCCTGTCCCATTAAGATAAGGCCACTCTCCGGGAACAACTGCGGTGTCTGTCCGTCCTGTGAGTCTGGCAGTGTTGGCTTCAATGCCTGCTTCTGTCTCCAGTCTTTCTTGGGGCATTAAGATGCATTCTTGCCACACTTAAAAAAAAAATAGCCCTGACCGGTC